TGACGAAATTTCGGGCCGCACTGCGATAGCGACGCTCACCCCTGGTCTGTACGTCTCTGATACCCATCCGCCCCAAACTGATCGTGTTCCAACGACAGGCTGCACGGCCCTCGCGCTCGCGACGGAGGCATACAATGTCCAAGCAGGCGACTTTGTCCTCGTGCACACCGTCGCGGGCAGTGTCGGGCTCTTCTTCGCACAGCTGATCAAGTCGCGCGGGGGAATCGTTATCGGCACGACGAGCACCCCTGAGAAGGCGGCAATTGCGAAAGCCAATGGGGCGGACCACGTGATCATATACAAGACCGAGAACGTCGCGCAGCGCGTGCTCGAGATCACTGGCGGGCTGGGCGTGCACGCGATCTTCGATGGGGTCGGGAAGGACACGTGAGTCTGGTGCATCCGTACGAAGGGCACGATTGTCTGGCTCAGGTTCGCCTCGGGCCTCGTCGAGCCCTTTGCGCCTCATATCACCGCGATGAAGGCGGCCAAGTACGTCTTCGCATCGTGAGTACTTCTACGCCTCCCTCCCTCATCTGTTCCCATCTATAATTACTGACGTGGGCTCCGGATTGCTGTAGGGCCGCCGCGTACTTTGCGGATAGGAAGGCTGGTCGGGAGTACGTGGCGGAGGTCTTCCGGCTCGTCACGAACGGGGTATTCAAGCCGGTCGTACACAAGGAGTATCCGCTCAGCGCGGAAGGTGTTCGCGAGGCAGAGAGAGAGCTTTGGGAGGGGAAGACGGCTGGGAAGTGTCTGGTCAAGGTTGCTGCCGAGTAGATGAGAATGGGAGCCCACTGTTTACAGAAGTACGACGAATTCGGGATAAGTGCGCTCTGGATAAAGTGACGAGGCTCCGCGCCGTTGCGAGAATCGCGTGAAATATCTGCCATGAAGGTACTCAGCCAGTAAAATGCCTACTGAACGGCGTCAGATTTGGTGCTTCCCCGACAACACGGTGCCGCGACACCGCATTACCACCAGGAGGCCATCACTTGCGAGGGGAGTCTTGTCTACTTCTGTATGCTCACAATCATCCGCCCGTGCAAGGCGTATATCTCGACCGATCACGCTAGCGGGGGTGATTGGGTCAAGGTTTCATAGTATCAGGAGAGGTGCTGGAGGATACATTCCGTATATTTGACGCGAGGATAGAATGAGGATACGGCTCTGCCAGTGTCGGATAGATAGATGCCCTGTGGGAAGCGTCAGTATCGTGGGCATAAGTGCATCATCGATATCCTTGACGTACATCCGACGCGAAACAGAATCCTATAAGGAAAGTCTGAGCATAAAAGATGCCAAGACAAAGGCTGTCGTCAGCATACGAGGCATGTCTAATGAAGGTTAGAATACGAACCACGTACGCTGCACGGTGCCGCTCCTCTACTGACTTGAGAGTGTTCCCTTCGCTACCACCATTCCATCTCCTCCTGCCAATCGCGCTCACTCTCCTAGAAATCCCTATGCGAATACACCACGTTCGGAACCAATTGCCCGAGCAGAGCGAGCCATGTCTCTCGACTCTTCCTGTACTGCGCCTTTGTCTTGTGCATCAAGCAGAGGTCCAGACTTCCGAGATGGAGTCCGGCCATGTCACGGATGCGCAGGGTCTGATGCACATCCTTGAGGACATTAACGTCACAAAATCGGCTCTCTGTATCGCCGATCCGCAGAGACTTGAGACCAGGCACCAGTGTTTCCGATGCCCTCAGAGGCGCTAGGGTAGCTTCAGCGACATTGTCACCTGGTTTCATAGCAGTCAAGGATGTAGAGAACGCCAGAGGCCGTGAGGCATCCAAGACGCAATCGAGTTTCCCGCTTCCTGTAAGTACGAGTGACTCGAGGCGTGGGGTGGCTGGGAAAATAGACTCGAAGCACTGGGCTGCGAGACGACCGAAGTCGACGTTGAGGTGCATTCGAGTCACTTTGTCGGAGATGATGCGTATAAGACTTTCCAGGCAGGAACTCGTGAGCATACCCCAAGTGGGCTGATCTTGGCTGTCCTGGCGGGACAGCATGAGCTTGAATGCGGTCCCACTAGCAGAGTTGCGACCAGAGAGCTCAGCGTCGTCCCATCCCAAAGCAGACAGCTTCACTTCGGCGATTGTGGGGAGGAATGGAAGGATCCCGGAATGATAGGAAGGGAGCAGAGTTGCAAAGGTATCGTTTGACAACTCGTCAAGGAACTCTCTGCGTCGAAAGTCACTGACGTCGTCCGTGACCTCGAGTGCCACGATTGCTGGAAGGTGGAGATGGGAGAGAATATGACGATTGCAGAACGACTCGTGGCTATGGTCCAGCGTTAGGCTGCAGAGGTGCGAAAGTATGATTTTCGGTCTGCGTAGCGGCTCGTCTATTCCTTCGGGGAGCGATTCCCCGGATCGAAGAAGGCCGGAGAGAATTAGCTCTTCTATGTACTTGCAGGTTTCTAGGGTGTCGAGAAGCTCGTCGAAGGTGACATGGTGCCCCCACCACGCAGAGAGCTTGAGGACACGAAGGCTTCGATATTGTGAGAATATCCGGGGAAAGCTGACCGATGAAAAGGCGAGTTCCTGGACATTCGGGATGAGGCGTGGAGAAACAATGAGCGGGGAGGAGAAATGCTTTAAGTTGCCGGCGACTGAAAGCGAAAATGAGAGCCTTTCAAGGTTCGGAAAGCTACTGGACAGAATATGGCACGAATCTCTAGTCGAGGTCGCCGATTCGTCCAGTGCGAAGAAAAGAGAGCGGATCAATGGCTTATACACGGCCTGTAAGACAAGGTGCGGCCCTGGCAGATCAGCCCTGTGGAAGGTAACGTCTACTGAGATATTGGAGCTGGCAGCGCGGGATAGACAGAGGCCAAGCCATTTCGAGCGACGACATACTTGGATCGCGCGCCAGTATCTCGGTGTTGCCCAGATAAGTTCGTACCAGCGGCGGCAAACGGCACGGACGACTCTCTCAATCGTGCCTGTAGACGTGTTGTGGTTGTCGGATGGAACGTATATGTAGTCGAAGACTTCCAGCAGGAGTTCGTCTGGCAATCGGAGGTGGCGACCCATTGGGGAGCCGAGCGGGTTTACTATCGCACATAAAATCAGCAACAATCTTGATCCACAGAGTCTGGTAGTCCGAGAGGGACATGCATGTCTATTACGCCCGTGACCTTTACTATGAGGGATTGGTGTGTGTCAGGCCTGACAGTTTCTGAGGAGCAGACACGCCGTCGAGTGCAGCGAAGGTGCAGAACAAAAGGCCTCGGAAGAATAATGATCAGGTAAGCGCCAAGAGCTGCGGTTGCAGTCGTCGGCGCTAAGTACGGGCTGCTTTCATGCAAACATCGCTATGATCAACGCGTTGCCTAACCTCAATTTCTTGGACTACATCTCTGTCTTCCTGGCACACTGACGCGTTCAGCGTGTGCCCCTACACCCTAGGTGATCCCCTTTCGGTCACTGTGCTTTTGCGGCAGCTCTGACCAGTCTCCTCAAGAACTCGGAAGAGAGAACCTGTGCTACCAGCCGTAAGGTATACAAGGTGGTTCTCTACGGTCTCAGCAGAGCCGGTGTGTAGCACAGCGGTCTAATGTACCCAACTGAAGGCACACTAATGTGACTTGTGAACGCTACTGAACAGTTATTGAACGTTGAACTGTTGTTGCAGTTGCATAGAAGTCTAGCCTTACAATACAAATACAACCTCGATATCATTCATCCACTATACTTGCTGCCCGAAGGTAAGGAGTGATGGTAAATCACGGGTTGGGATGAGTACTTGTCGCGACCCACGATCTGCTGATTGGCATGCTACATAGCAACCAATCCGACATACAGTGAGTACCGTATCCTGCTAGGAGGTCGTGCACTCACGTAGGATATCCGAACGTGTTTCTGCCTCTGCATTGGGTACACACCTCCGTTTACTCGCAGTCCTTTTCTGAGCACGACATGAAGGAACACGAATCAAGACTTCAGCCGACGGAGAGTCGCGAAGGACGTACGTTGGCATATCGATGTCCTCAAGATCCCACGCTGCCGGCATTGTGGTAGACAAGATTCGAGACCCTCACGAAAGTCTTCATCCAGGCCGCTTACTTCGGCACTCTCGTGTAGGAATGTCAGGCTCACAAGGCCGAGAGAGGGAAAAGCTGATGGTGCAGCCAGGACGTCGGCCCTGGAACAAATGTCCCGTAGTTCCGCAAGCACTTCCTGCCAATCCAGTCTCCCGTTCTCAAACTCGTCCGTCACTATTATGTTGATGACCACTTCTTCGAGCACCGTCGACCGAAAGTGAGACAACACCTCCGTGAGCAGAACAAGGTTGTAGGGTGGGGTTAGGATCTCGATGGATCGGAGCGTGATGTATCGCGCTATCCCTAGTACGTCACCCTCTGATATTAGCACAACGCCCCCATGATGGAGTATGGCTGGGGAGCTACCTGAATAACCTTGTTCATGTGGTCAATCGCAGTCGGAGATTGTGAGAGCCTCGACGGGTGATGCATGCAAGAGGTCGAAGATGATGTATATGGGAATGTCCGGCTCGTAGAGCTAGTGGATTCAATGCAGGCAAGAGTACCGTCAGAGATAGCAAAGGGGCAGGTGATGAATGCAAACGCACCTCGATCCGTGTCAGCTTGGGCCAATGGCATGTCTGTTGGCCTTGATCAGGCAGAGGGTAGGGAATGCGTGCAGACCGTTTGATTTGGAGAGATTCTAGATGAGGGAGCAACACAAGAATGTCTTGGAGTTCGGTTTCGCTGCTCAGGGTGCAGTGTTCCATAGTGAACGCAGTCACGTTGTGGCACGGGAACGAACTGAGCAGGGATACCACCAGGGACATGGAACCATCGTCCTCCTGGAGGTCGCTACATGCCAGTCTTCGGAAATTTGTGAGGGCCGACAGAGGACGATCGTTGGCATCTGACAACAGGTCTTGGGCTGCCAACGTCTCGGCCTCCGTGAATTCGGAGGGTCGAAATCTGCAACAGGAGATTGCTTGGACGAGTGGACCGAGCTCGGATGTTGTAGCTATAGCATGGAGGAACGATTTGACCTGAGACGGTCGGCTGAGGACCACAGAACGGTACAGGTGGGAGCGTGTCGTTGGAAGCCACGCGCGGCATGTTACCGCACACGCCGTCAAGTCAGAGCCTGAGGCCCAGTGAGAACCTACATGGGTTCCGCTGGTTTACGTCGGCGAAAGTCGTGTCAGAGCGGTTGAGGTCGGAAAGTCTCGGTTCATATTGGGCGGACGATTTCAGACGCTCAAACGCTGTCTCTAACTGACCTTATGGTGACTGGATCAGACGTGCATGTCCTGACACCGGTGACGTCGACGTATCTCTCGCTTGTCTCTAACGTGTCTCTAAAGTCTATGTACACCCTTAGCTTGTGCTCACAAACCATTGCATGTGCCCTTTGGACCAGCCACCCCAGGTGTCTGTGCGTGCGGCTGTTCGCTCCTACTACCCAGTTCGCAAACTTCTACAATCACTTCGATCCACTGCCCCCGCCGCCTGATGCTGTTATG